CGGGGCGGCGCGTGCCTGCCATGGTGGCATGCTGTGGCTTCTGAGCAGAGGCTCATCTCAGGTGGGTTCAGAGGGTTACAGTCCTGGGAATTTCTTTGCTCCCTGTGAGAAAAGAAAGGCATTAACACTAAATTCTACATGAAATTGACACAGTATTTTCAACTTTTATATTCCACAGTAATTAAAGACATGAAGAATGGCATGTAACGTTACCATATTTTTATTAGTAATTGCACAGTTCTGTCTGTACCTAATGAGAAACATCGAATTCTGTTAGAGGAATTGGCCATGTGTTTGCCTCTAGAGAAACTTAGTGTGGCTCTCTGTATTTATGGATCCCTTTATGTCATGTCACATTTACTTTGGCCCTCTATGTATTTAAATGTTTGAAGTGCCTTAGACTCTTGCCATATTTTCAAAATAAAATTGCATTAAGCTCTCGTTCCGTCCCTGGTTCGTCTCTGACAGCTGTCCGCCCCACTGCTCTGACTTACAGCATGCAGTGAAGGCTGATGGATGGCTTGAGCGGGGAGGGCAGCGCAGGTCACTGGTCTTGGGCTCCAGCAGGGCGGAGGCGTCTGCCGAGACCACTGCTCCATCTCCATGTCAGCTCATGACTCAGGGCGCCCATCAGGAGGGGGAAATGTAAGACCTTATTACAGCAACAGCTCACCAGGCGGGCCATCTCCAAGGGCAATCTGGGAGCTGACCCTTCGCAGGTGCAGGAGGCCAGTCCTTGACTCTAATGTTGGGCGCGAATGCTGGGAGACTGGTTGAAACATAGTGAGGAAGGGACGAAGGGAAGCCAGACAGACCTGTCGGTGTATTGTCGGCCAGAGTACCTGTTGGCAGGTTCTTTTTTATTTTTTAGAGAGATGTTTGCTATAGGGCACATGTGTTTACTGGAGAGACAGAGACAGACAGAAAGCAAGAAATCACCCCCAGCAGGGATGGCCACACCACAATCCCTCCTCCATTCTCCTCTCAGAATGTTGAGCACGCACATACATGTTTTAAGCCGCTGGGTCCGAAACTCGAAACACAGTTGACTACTGTGAGGCCAGTGACATAATCATTATGCCATCTGCTGGTCCCCTAGCAGGTCCTTTTTTAAAAAAAGAGAGGTGGTGTAGGCGCCAGGATGCTGTTGCACAGAACCGGAGCCTTATGGGAAGGCCCAGGGTTCAGATCCCGGCTGGCTGGTAAGGCTGGGAGGAGACTGTAGCACAAGACCCTGCTGTGTCAAAGAAACTTAAAAATAAGTGAGGGGAGCCTTGGGACCGTCTTATTAAAATGAAGCACAGTGGCCAAAATCTTCTCTCCTTCCCCCCCCTCCCTTTTTAAAATGAAGCCTTATTGAGCTCAGGAGAGAGGCCGGAGAACAGCCTTTTCCAGCAGGTGTCCATCATAACGCCTGCTTGGCATGGTCAGCAGTTTGCATCTTTTAGGGAAGAACTCGTGGCAGCTATGTAAAGCGATACTGGCCATTCAGGCACCTGGAGCAGGAGCGAGTGGCTGTCCTGGTCACAAGCCAGGGGCCTCCTGGACATAGGGCCGTCCTCCGCCGTGAACTGGGAAAGAGGTCATAGCTACCTGGAGTCCAGGCCTCGCCCTTCCCTCCCTCCCAGGACAGATCTGCCAGCTGTGGGATTCAGACTAATTTTGGCTCAGGTAATGATCCAAGCCCGAGTTCCTACAGATCCAAAAAGGTACAATACGTTACTGCAGAGGAGTGTGTGTTTGGAAGCCAGGTCGAGCTGCGCGTGCCTGCCATGGTGGCATGCTGTGGCTTCTGAGCAGAGGCTCATCTCAGGTGGGTTCAGAGGGTTACAGTCCTGGGAATTTCTTTGCTCCCTGTGAGAAAAGAAAGGCATTAACACTAAATGCACAAGAAAATGAACCCCTCCATATCATTTCAGGTTTCTTGAGCTGAGTGTTGAAAAGGGGTGCTCGCCCTACCTCTGAGTGAGGTCGTGCAGTGTTTACCTCCCCCTGGGAGCGTCGGCTACGTGTGCCTTGTTTGCTCTAATAACACTGGCCACTCGCAGTGCTGTTTACCTTGGGACCACGGCACTGTATAAACAAGCCTGGCTAGCCCCACGGGTGCAGCTGCAACTCCAGAAAGGGCTTTGTGACAGGAGGCTTGGGAAGGCCCCCAAGGGAGGCCAGCATAGGCTTGGAAATCCCAATTATACAAGCAGACTAAACCTTTAGGTGGCAGCCAGTGTCCTTGTCCTGGGAATCCCACAGCTGAAAGCTGGCATCCGCCCCAAGGTGGCAGGAGTGGAACTATGGCACTGTGAGACTTTGAGGCTCAGAAAGTCACACTGACCCCGTGTACTGCCACTGTTAGGATTAGACTGACACCTAAACCCAGCCACAGACCGGGTGTGTTTCTGGAGAAATTTACTAGGAATACACAATCTAGCATGAGTCCCAAATAAGCCAAGCGCTGACGCTGCCTGTGAATCGTCACTACTCGGAGTACAATTTTACCCCCGATTTTTGTGATACTGAAATGCTGCAGACCCACAGTAATCCCTGTGTATGAAGTCAGGTAAGAAAACTGCTGTTCTTCCCTCAAAGGAACTAATGGGTGAGTAACTATCACCTGTATTTAAATCCCGATGGTTATTTTGGTAGAAGCCAGCTACAAGAAGAATCTTTTTGGTATTTTTGTTTTTGTTTTGCTACAGGGTGCGTGCACTCACCAGAGAGAAGCAGAGGGAAAGTGAGAACTCACTCCCCAGGGGAATGGCTATGCCATAATCCCATCTCCTCCATTCTCCTCTTGGGGTTTTGGGCATGCACACACATGTGCCCATCGTGATTTTCAAACTGATGGGTCTGGGACTCAAACTTTGGTCCAGCCTTGTGAGATCCAGCACCTTAGCCCCCATGCCTCCAGCTGACCCACAAGTAGAACTCGTTTTATGATTTGAACCGTGCTCAGCCATGTGAGAGTCCACTACCTTAACCACCACACCACCTGTTGGCCTCAAGTAGGACTTATTTCAATGATGCTCTTTGTGTAAGCTTTCTCCACAGCATGTATAAGAATTTCTTGGTGAAGTTGGTAAAAAAAAAAAAAAAAATGCAAATTTGGGACCCATCTGAGGATTCTGATTGATCAAGCCTGAGAATCTGAATTGTTAAGGATCCCAGGTGTTTCTCGGTGTGGTCTTCTGTCCACACTGAGACTCTTGTTACTCCCAACTATGAACCACTACAAGGGAGTCTTTAAAAAAAGTTTGTTGAAATCTGGGGCCAGCCGTTAGCGTAATGGCTATGTCACTGGACTACCATGTAGTCGACTGCTGTTCGAGTCCTGGACTTGGTGCCTTAAACTCATGCCAGGTGCGTGTGTGTGCGTGCCCAAGAGGAGAATGGAGGAAAAGGGGTTGCGACATGGCCATCCCCCCTGGGGGGTGATTTCTCTCTCTCTGTCTTTCTGGTGAGCACACGCGCCCTATAGCAAAAACCTCTCCCAAAAAAAAGAAAAAAAAGTGTTTGTTGAAATCTGTATTACAAAAAACTGTGAGGTCAGCTCTGTGGCACAGTAGTAATGTGCTGCTTAAGGGAAGCACAACTGGGGCTCGCCGATGACGTGGTGGTTAATACACTGGACTCTCACCTGGCTGACTGTGGTTCAAGTCCCAGATCTTACAG